TTCATGATATTGTTGGAGAATGGGGCTAACTAATTAGTATTCACGCGTAAGGGAGGTATTCATTGGGGAAAAACTACTTGTGCAATTGAAAGCAACAATATTAGTCTAACTCGCGAAGAAAAGTCAGTTAACTTTATATTACTATCGAAAAACTTAGTATTTAACTTAATTATCAACGTATCAATTAAGCTTACCTACAAAACTACAAACAAATAAGAACATAGCACATTTTTCTAAACTAAGTATCTAACTAATTGACAATTCAAAACTCAACTAACTATAAAATGACTCTCCGAAATGAAAAAAAAAGTTAATCTATAGATAACTCATGGTACTTTAAATATCCCAGAAAAGAATTAACAACAATGTTCGACAGTGCATCATTTACTACACTTCAACTCACAGCATGATCATGAATTTAAGCATTGACATCTTCGTGTTCTTGTTTTTCTTCTTCTTCCTTCTTCGTCCTCAACTTTCCCAACTTTCTCGAGCTGCAAATATCCTATTTAAATTGCTCCTCCAGCTCAAAGCTTATATTCCACTAAAATATCATGAAAAAATATTGGTTGTAATGACATAATAGAAGCTATAGTATGGTCTTAATTATATTGAAAGTAAAATGATAATCATATTAGCAATTCTGACTTATGACCGCTAGGTATGTTTTGTTGTCCAAAATTAATATATATTAATTATTAATTAATTAATTAATTAATATATAAAAGCTAATGTTGTAGGTTACTATTCATTAGTGGCTCTCACACTCATCCAAGTGCAAGTGGGGAAGTTCCAAGTTATTCTTTTACCTTACTCTCCATTCTACAACTTTTGTGTTTAGTTATTATTTGCTAGATTTTCGTCTATGGCTTTTTGCACAAATCAACGTCTTTGCCCATCATTCATTCATTTTGCAGCTCATCTCGAAATAATCCTAAGTTGTTCCCCACCACCGTTTCCCAAGGCCGCTACCACGAGTTTTGTATCGGGATTGAGTTTCATACTCTTAAGTGTTTTTTTTCCCTTCTTTTTGTTGAGCATGATCACAATTGAACCCAAAACCATGGGTATCCTAACTTGAACACAAATCATCGTCTTTGCCCACTATTTTGCAGCCCATCTCGAAATACTGCCGGCAGAATCCTAAGTTATTCCCCACCATCGTTACTTACGGCCGCTACCACGAGTTTGTATCGGGACCGAGTTTCATCCTCTTTAGTGTTTTGTTATTGTTCGCTAGGTTTTCGTCTATGGCTTTTGCAAAAATCATCGCCTTTGTGTTAAGTTATTGTTCGCTAGGTTTTCGCCTATGACGCTTTGCACAAATCATCGCATTTACCCACCATTTTGCAACTCATCTCAAAATACCGTCGGTGAAATCCTAAGTTGTTCCCCGCCACCGTTTCCCAAGGCTGCTACCATGAGTTTTGTATCAGGACCGAGTTTCATCCTCTTTAGTGTTTTTTCTTTCTTTTTTCCCTTTTTGTTGAGCATGATCACAATTGAACCCAAATACATGGGTGTAGTAACTAGAACACAAATCATCGACATTGCCTATAATTTTGCAGTCCATCTCGAAATATTGTCGGCGAAGTTCTAAGTTGTTCCCCACCATCGTTTGCCAAGGCCGCTACCATGAGTTTTGTATCGAGACCGAGTTTATCCTCTTTAGTATTTTGTTCTTTCTCATTTTCCTTTTTGTTGAGCATGATCACAATTGAACACAAAATCATGGGTATCCTAACTTGAACACAAATCATCGTCTTTGCCCACTATTTTGCAGCCCATCTCGAAATACTGTCGGCGAATCCTAAGTTGTTCCCCACCACCGTTTCTCAAGGCCTCTACCACAAGTTTTGTATCGAGACCGAGTTTCATACTCTTTAGTGTTTTGTTATTGTTCGCTAGGTTTTTGTCTGTGACTTTTTGCACAAATCATCGCTTTGTGTTTAGTTATTGTTCGCTAGGTTTTTGCCTATGAATTTTTGCACAAATCATCGCATTTGCCCACCATTTTGCAGCTCATCTCGAAATACCATTTGCGAAATCCTAACTTGTATCCCACCACCGTTTCCCAAGACCGCTACCACGAGTTTGTATAAGGACCGAGCTTCATCCTCTTTAGTGTTTTTTTTTTCCTTTTTGTTGAGCATGATCACAATTGAACCAAACACATGGGTATACTAACTGCAACACAAATCATCGCCTTTGCCCATCATTTTGCAGCCCATCTCGAAATACTGTCGGTGGAATCCTAAGTTGTTCCCCATCATCGTTTCCCAAGGCCGCTACCACGAGTTTCGTATCGAGACCGAGTTTATCCTCTTTATGTTTTGTTCTTTCTCATTTTCCTTTTTGTTGAGTATGATCACAATTGAACCCAATGCCGCTACCGCATGATCACAATTGAACCCAAAACCATGGATATCCTAACTTGAACACAAATCATCGGCTTTGCCAACTATTTTGCAGCCCATCTCGAAATACTGTCGGTGAAATCCTAAGTTGTTCCCCACCATCTTTTCTCAAGGCCTCTACCACGAGTTTTGTATCGGGACCGAGTTTCATCCTCTTTAGTGTTTTGTATTGTTCGCTAGGTTTTCGTCTATGGCTTTTTGCACAAATCATCGCCTTTGTGTTTAGTTATTGTTCGCTAGGTTTTTGCCTATGAATTTTTGCACAAATTATTGCATTTACCCACCATTTTGCAGCTCATCTCGAAATACCGTCGGGAAAATCCTAATTTGTTCCCCACCACCGTTTCCCAAGGCCACTACCACGTGTTTTGTATCAGGACCGAGCTTCATCCTCTTTAGTGTTTTTTCTTTTTTTGTTGAGCATGATCACAATTTAACCCAAAAACATGGGTATACTAACTTGAACACAAATCACCGCCTTTGCCCATCATTTTGCAGCCCATCTCGAAATACTGTCAGCGGAATACTAAGTTGTTCCCCACCATCGTTTCCCAGGTGTTAATTTGTTAATTTGTAGTTGGCAGGTTGGACCAAGTGTTAATTTGTTAAAAAATTGTTCAAAGCTAGTTGCATACGTTGTTGACCAGTTTTAGATCTAAAGCGAGTTTTGTATTAATGTATTTTTCTTTCTCATTTTCCTTTTCGTTGAGAATGACAATTGAACTCTGACCCATTTTTGACGCGTTTCGTATCGAGAACGAGTTTTATCCGCTTTTGTAATTAACTGGTTGGGTAAATTGTGAATTTGTTAAAACTGGGTCGACCCGGTTAATGCTAGTTGAACGCAGTGTTGAAAGTTTGAGGTCATGAGCGAGTTTTTTCCGCTTTAGTATTTTTTTTATCTTTTCCCTTTTTATTGAGAATGACAATTGAGTCTAAATGCATGGGTATACAACCTAATTCGACCAGACCAAAACGACTTGAACCCGATTTTACAGGTTTTTGGCAAGAGCGAGTTTTATCTATTTTTGTAATTGGCTTGTTGTGTCAGGTGTCAATTTGTCCGAAACTAGGTCCAACCAGGTCAAAGAGAGTTGAACCTGGTGTTGACGAGTTTTGAGTCGGTAGCAAGTTTTAGCTTTAGTGTTTTTCATTTCACTTTTTCCTTTTGTTTGAGAAGGACAATTGAACCCAAATCCATGGGTATGGTACCTAACTTGACTCGATCAATACGAGTTAAACCTTCTCAAACCTTCAATCAGTCCGAAAAATTCATAAGGGAGAACCATGATTACCTCAAACCCAAAAAGAAAGAAAGCCAAAAGAGTACGACTATGTTTGGCCCGAATATTAGAAGTTTAATGTTTCAAAAGTTGAAGCCAAGCCAAAGACCATTGAAGTTTCACTTTTTAAAAAATTGAAGTTTTTCGTAACTTAAAAGTAAAAGTTCTGATTTGAAAATACAAAATTATCCTTACCATATATTATTCTTTTTCTAGAACACATAATTTTCTTTCATTTATATTATTATAAAAAATTAATTGAAAAATAGTATTATTTAATATGAAATAAAGCTAACGTGATCTATTTTAAATACCTTTTTATTTTTGAATTTGTATTCATATTTTAAGTTAGAAATATCTTTTAGTCATTTTCCATTACCTCTTATATTAGAAAGTAATTCTGATAGTTTTTCAGCTAAACACTCAACATTTTTTTTTAAATACTTCTTGAAAAGATCCAGAGAAGCTACTTTATTATGCAAAAGTTACAGCAGGATCAACTACTAGCCATACAAACTGAAACATTAGCGTCATGAAAGAAGTTTAAACATAAATCATCTATTCGACGATCCTTCCGCCTTATGCAAGTTCATCGACCATATGCTATTGTAGTAACAAACCTATAAAAAGAATGATTAAGTATGAAATAAGATTACTTTCACTTTTGGGTCAACATTTAAACTTACTCTTAAAATATTTATTCTTCTTATACGCGAAGCGATAGCGAGCAGACTTTTGCTAGTAGTTATGAAAAGAAAGGAATTAAACTTTTTCAGCAATAAAACAATATTGGGGAAACATTTCAGAAAGAGAAAACATCCTTAACTGCAAAAACAATATAAGCATCTGTACTTAGAAAACACCAGCAGTTTTGAGAAAAAGGATGATAAATGACTAAGCAAAGAAGAGATTGTTGGAAACTAGTTCATAAATCTTACATTTTCAGCAAGCACATCGTGGCAGTACATAAGAACCATAAACACCATGCTATGTTCCATTGGATTCTAATATATAACTAAACAGCTACATTACCTTATAAATTAGCTGGATTGGTATAGATAAAGAGAAGATGGAATATTGTCTGGTTATCAGCGTGGAAGGATAGGGATCCATGTGCTGACTAAAGGTTAGGAAGTATAGGAACTAGTAGCGAGGAAATCGAAGCAGTGCAGTAGAATAGCAAATGCAACTTAAATAGGGATAGAGCCCAGATTTGAAGTTAGGTGGTTATCCAAATTGTTTATTTTTTTTTTGGTAAAAACAGGGCGCAGAGTGCGCCCAAACTTTTATTGCATGCTAACTAGCCGGGGGGTTTCAATCCCACCCGGTCAAAAAACAGCCAGTACAGCAGAGAAGTACATGGTCTAGCCATTACATGAACTCCAATCGTCTCCGAATGTCCTATAGACGCTAGGTGATCCGCTGCAAAATTCGCCTCGCGGAAGATGTGGTCGATTCGAACCGTCCAGTCTCGTTGCAGTCTCCTCCTAATTTCACTGATCAGAGAGAAGTGCATATGTCTCTCGGTCGCATTCTCGATCAGGGTCTTGGCAGTCACTGAGTCTGTTTGTAGAAGAACTTTCCTGGCTCCTTGTTCCCAAGCAAGATCCAACCCATACACAATACCAGCCAGCTCCGCACGAGTAATAGAACCCCCCCCCCCCCCCCCCCCAAGGTTCGCAGTGAAAGCTCTGATGAAACGGCCATCACTCCCCCGCATGATGCCGCCACAGGATGTGCTCTCCGGAGAGTGGATGACTGAGCCGTCAGTGTTGATGCAGACCCAATCTTGCGCCGGTGGTTGCCAGCCAACTAGGCGCTGCTCTCGGGTGCCCCCATTCCCGAAAACTGTTCTCTCCTGTTCAAATGCTTTGGTAATGTCGTCCCGGAGCTGTTTTGTTATGAACTGGATTTGTGTATGGGTCTTCAGCTTGTCCTGGAACACGAAGTCATTCCGGTTCTTCCACAACAGCAAACAGGTTCCTGCAAACAAGGTAGCATCAATGGTATTACTCCGCCCTGATAAATAAAAAAGGCTCCATCTCTGACCGTCGGTTTCAAAGAATCTGGAATCTGGTTCGTCTTCAAGCAAGTCCGCCCAAGTCGCGCGAGCAAAGGGACAGTCCCTTACTATGTGTAGAGTCGTCTCCGGTCCGCCCCCACATATCTTGCAGTCCGTGTGATTGGTGAGACGTCACCGTGCCCTCTCTGCGTTTGTAAGAATTCGTCCGTGATTCATCAGCCACAAGAAAGCCCGCACCCGTTGCAGGGTCGGGGCCTTCCATACCGATCGCCAGGCTTGCTGTCCCAGGTTCGGCTCGACAGGGTCGCCCGTGAGCTCGTAAGCCGATCGTAGGGTGAACTCTCCATTGGGGTTAAATCGCCAGGCTCGAGTGTCCTCCATTTCCTCCGCCGGCACCGGATGCAGGGTGATCTGCGAAACAAGATCATGAGGTAAGTAGTAAAGCAGAAAGTCAGAATTCCACTTACCATTGAGAACAAAATCGATGACAGGCATATCCAGGAGCTCCGGCGGCAGGTTGGGCGCGTGCTCTTTGAGGATTGTATGCTCATCCAGCCAGCGGTCGCTCCAAAATTTTGCTGTCCGTCCATTGCGGACATTCCAGCAGGTAGCTTCCTCGATCAAATGAGCCACTCGAGTAACCCCTCTCCACAGATTAGAGATTCTGCCTTGGGTACGAAAATGGCGCCCCTCCCCCGTCTGCCTCGAGTACTTGCCCAGGAGAACTCTCGCCCACAATTCATGTGGCTTGGTAAGCATCCTCCAGGCTAATTTGAGCATATATGCTTCGTTAGTTCTGGTGGAGTCCCGGAGCCCCAAACCCCCCTCTTCCTTTGGTTTACAAAGCGTTTCCCAATTAATGATATGGATCTTCCGGCCTTGTTCCGTACTACCCCATATGAAGGCGCGAATTTTCTTGTCGATGTATTCCCGCACACTCGCCTGCAACCAAGTCGTCTGCATCAAGTAGGCCGGCAGAGAAGCCAGAACCGACTGCGCCAATGTGATTCGGCCAGCTAGGGACAGGGTAGAGGCCTTCCAGCCGGCCAACCTTTTATCAATCCGATCGATGAGCTCCAGGTAGGTAGATTTCGAGACGCGATCATGAATAACCGGCACCCCCAAGTACCTTCCCAAGTTCGTGGTCACTGGGATCTGGAGTTCTTGGCTCAAGATCTGCTGGCAATCCGCAGTAGTATTCGGCGAGAAGAATACCCGGGATTTCGGCCTACTGATCTGTTGGCCCGAAGATCCTCCAAACTTTTCGAAGCATGCATTTATTTCTTGTGCCTGTGATCTTGTCGCCTCGCCAAACAGAATCAGGTCGTCCGCGAAGAACAAATGCGAGAGGGCCGGACCATCCTGTGATAGCTTGATTGGCTTCCACCTACCCGCCCGAACTGCCTCTGCGATGATGTGCCCCAGTCTCTCCATACACAAGGTGAAAATGTACGGGGAGAGGGGGCAGCCCTGTCGTAGACCCCTGGATGGTTGGAAGCTCTCCGTGAGGCCCCCGTTCCACTGTATTTGCATCGACGCCGAAGTGATGCAGGCCATAGTCAACTCCACAAACTTATCTGGGGCCCCTGCCGCAACTAAAGTATCCCTTACAAATCCCCACCTAATTCTATCGTACGCCTTTGCTAAGTCCACCTTTAGGACCATCCATCCTCGCCTACCCTTCCTGGCTCTCATCGAGTGGATTACCTCCTGAAGGATGCAAATGTTATCGGTGATGTGGCGTCCCGGAACGAAACTAGACTGGGTTTCATGGACCAAGTCCGACATAAGGTTCTTCAATCTCTCGGCCAGGCACTTCGTGATTGCCTTGTACGCCACATTACAAAGACTGATCGGCCGAAATTGATCAATGGTGATCGGCTGCTTTATCTTCGGGATCAGCACGAGGACTGTGGAGTTTATTTCCTTGACTTTTTCCGGCGTATTCCAGCAGTCGGTAATGAAACCTGCTAAAGATGATCCCACCGTCGCCCAGCATCTTTGGAAAAATACCGGGCTTAGCCAATCTTTGCCCGGGGCCTTTAAAGGTCCCATCGCTTTCACCGCTGCATAAATTTCCTCCAAGCTTGGCGCACGATCAAGCTGCTGCCAGCGAGATCCCTCCAGTGTCGGGAAACCCTCCAGAAGGGCTAGCAGGTCTCCTCCTACGTCCTGGTATAGACTGCTAAAGAATACTCGCGCCATCTCCAGTAGGGCGGACTGGTCTTCTACCCAATTTCCCCCCTCATCCTTGAGCATAGTGACCCGATTTCTGGCTCTCCGCCTTAGAGTTCTGGTGTGAAAATACGCCGTGTTCTTGTCCCCCGAGTTTATCCACTCAAGTCGGGATTTTTGACACCACAGGAGCTCTTCTTGAAACAAAACCAGCTCTAATTCCTCCTGACACTGTCGAAGTTGGGCCTCATTGCCCTGTCCACCCCCAGCCTGCTCGAGGTACTCTAGTCTTCGGAGTAGCTTGTCCTTGCGCCTAGTGATGTGCCCAAAAACATTTCTATTCCACAAAAGTGCCTCTTGCGCAAAGGCTGTAGCCGACTCTGTAAATGAGTCTCCCCTGGCCCAAGCTTCTTCCGCCATGTCCTGGAAACCCTCGTGGGTTAGCCATGCCGCTAGGAATCGGAATGGCTTGGGTCCTGCCGGCGGGTGAGGCGCTGCCAAGGAGACCAGGATCGGCCGATGATCAGATTTTTTCATGCGGGCCAGGTGTCTCACCACTGTGTCCGGGAACCTCGTCACCCACTCATTATTTGCCAGACCCCTATCCAGTCTTTCTCTGAGCCCCGTTCTAAACCAGGTGTAGGCTGGGCCTTCGAATCCCAGATCAATCAGCTCGGTGTCTTGTACAACCTCTTGGAAATCTCTGATTCTAGCTGCATCAAAAGGGGCTCCTCCCAGTTTCTCCGACGGGCTCAGAATGGAGTTGAAGTCCCCCACCAGTAGCCAAGGTCGCACCATGTTCATAGCCAGCTATCTTAAAAAGCCCCAGAGTTCCCGACATTGCATGGGAGCCGGGCTGCCAAAAATAGCGGATAGCTGCCATTCAACGTCCTGAGGTGATAGTCCCTGTACCTGCACATGAAGACATTGTTGGTTAGCGTCGATTTTAGAGATATTCAGTTCACTCGAATTCCAAAGCAGCCAAATTCCTCTAGAAAAACCCACGGCATCGATAATTAATTCCTTATCATAGCCCATTCTACGAATGACGTTAGTAGCACGGTCCCCACTAATTCTGGGTTCCACAATGATCACTATATGAGGTTTAGACTTCCTACGATACTCCCGAAAAGCACGTAAAACTCTTTCCCCCCCGCACCCCTACAATTCCAACAGAAAACTTTATAATCCATAAAACAAGTTGGAAAAGGAAAGATACTCCCTTAAGTTTGCGCGGCCGACGATGTGTTCACGTCGATCTGCATTCCCGTGGAACTGTTCGCTGTGTTCTCGTTTGTGCCCAGAGCTGGCTCTTGACCAATGTCTGGGCTAGTATCCGGTGGTCGTCCCTGTAATTCATCCGTAGCGGATGTCCCCGACCTCTTTGTTTTGCCATTCCCCCCTTCCTGTTGTGGTCGAGGCGCTTCAACGTCTACATGAGTCGGATGGTCGGCCCTCTGCCCCGACTTCTGCTGAACAGTCCGGGTATTCATACCTTTTCCCGACCCTGCATTAGGATTGGACCTCGTGGAATCCGTACCAAGAGTCTCCCTGGGAGGCTGGCTCACTTTTTCCTTCTGCGCTAGTGATGACTGTTTCTGGCCCTTGTTCTTGCTCTTGTTATGTTCCGGTTGACGGTGGACTCGGTTGCTGGTCTCACTAGGAATGTCCACGTGCTCGGTCCCCGTTAGTGCTTCCTCTTCCTCCTCTAGGGCAGCAAAACGTGAACCCCCGACGTGCTGGTGTGCGCCCTGACCCGTTTTGGATCCCTTAGGGTTCCCAGTCACTCCTTGGTCCTTCTTCTGGGTCCGGGGTTTGCGTTTGGCGATCATCCAATCCCCGTAGAGGGGTTCATTTCGGTTTACCACTGGCACAAGTTCTTGTACTGTTTGCTCCGCTTCCATTGGTGCCTGCGATTTGGCACACGAGCAGCCCCATTTTTCAGCATAGGTACCACAGTTTAAGCAGATATTCTCCAGCCCTTCGTACTGGATGAAATACTTCTTCCCTTTTATAGAGAATTTCGATAGTAAGGGTCTGGTAAGGTCCACTTGGACACAAACTCGGGCGTAATCGCTTCTTGCTGCCGTTCGAGTAGCTTCATCAATGCGGATTGGTTTTCCAATACGACGCCCAATTTTCATCACAGCCTCCTGGTGGAAGAACTGAATTGGAATATCTAGAAGTCTCGCCCAAACTAACGTTGAAGAGATTTCGTGGTTATAGGGGTCGAAATTCTTATCCCACATGTGCACAGACAGATAGTTCGGGCCTATCATCCATGGTCCGTTCGTGACTGCTCTTTCTAGTCTAGACCACTCGTAAACCGAACGAGAAAATAGCCGTTCTTCATTGATGTGACTTGGATTCCTCCCGCCTTTGCCCATATCGTATTCAGTCGAATGGACACCGCTGTATACGAGACTGTTCTTCCCAAAGGTTTCACTATCAACGCTGATCGTAGTTTGCGGCAGTACTCCCTCTCCTCAGCTGCGGTGAAGTATATTGGTGGGCAGGTGGGGTCATCCTCTCCATCAAACCCTTCTTCCAACCCATCCTCACGCATCGCCGCTGCCGAGTCTTCACTATCCGACTCAGCAGTGTACCACTCATCCATGCGAGCTTCCCCTCCGAACAATCTGCGCGCAGCTCCTGTCCCTTGAGACCATATATTAGGTCTGGGACTCGGTGGCGGGGAGGTGCCAGCTCTATCCGGTTTAGTTGGACCCTCGTACAGCGGATCGGCATTCATCGCCGGCGCCGTTTGTTTCGCACGTTTCTTCAAGTGTTGTGCCTCCCTGTCCCCTTTCGGATTTGGAGATGACGTCTCTGTGGGAGGCCTCCTCTGGCCCGCGATCGTCTCCGGTTGTGTATCCGTAAGCGGCCTGCTGCCGGCCGGCGGCATGACGTTCGCCGACATAGCGAGGAAACCCTAGCGCCAGCCGATTCTATGAGTTAAAGTGAAGTTACCTAAAAATAAAATCACCTGAAATTTTTGTTAAAAAATAAAATCAACTGAATAAATTTTGTTATCAGATTAATTTTCATATAGTTATCATTATCTTTTTACGGTATTAATTTTCTATTCAAATGCGGCTCAGTACTCTACTATAATCTAGATTCACCGGGACTACAATCACAAAGTAATTTGATTAGTTAATTTTTAATTATTCTGCGCAGGTAGTGGATTGACATCGGATTTATGCGCTTGAAGATGAGCTTAATAAATAATGGGTTGCAGAAGAAATTTACTGGCGTAAAAAATCACAGGTTCACTGGTTGAGGGAAGGGGATAAAAACTCTTCAGATTTTCACACTGTCACAAGAACCCGACACCAAAAAATGAGATTTCTGGGATACGAGACGCGACTGGAAATTGGGTAACGGGTGAGGCGGAAAAAGGAGTGGTGGACTGTGATTTTTATGGGTCTTTTTTTCAAACAGAAAATGAGATATTAGATATGGATGCAAGGATTGGGACACTATCGTTGGAGACCGTGGTCACTGCATAACTGAATGTTGAATTAACGGCAGTAGTCCTACCATAAGAGATTAAGAGAGTGGGGTGAGTCAATGAAGCAAATTTTACCGATTAGTTTGTGTCAACTGTTCTATAAGATTATAGCAGAAAATGGAGAATTGTCTGCCCAAATTGATCTCACCGGAGCATAACAGATTTTTCCGAGATAGGCAAATAGTTGATAACATTCTTATTGGTCATGAGATTATGCATTACCTCAAATCAAGAAGCAAGGGAAGAAGGGTTATATGGCTTTGAAGGTTGACATGAAAAAAGCCTATGATATAGTGGAATGTACATTTTTACTTGCAGTTATGAGAAAAATGGGGTTTCATACTCAATGGATTCACTTGATTAAGGAATGTCTGTCTTCGGTGACTTTTTCAATATTTATGAATGGGAATCCTAGTGGGTATTTTAGGTCCTCGCATGGATTGAGGCAGGGTGATCCGTTGTCGCCATTATTGATATATACTAAAGGCTTTTCAGCTTTGTTAAAACAAGCAGTGGCGGAAAAGAAATTAACTGGTGTTAAGGTGAAATTGTGGTGTCCGAGTGTGTCTCACTTGTTTTTGTTCGGGTGGTGTGGTTGGTTTAGATTTTAGGTCATGGTTTTTGTTTGGGTTGTAAATAGTGGTATCTATATTTCTTGATAATTCAAGCTTTTGGAAATAAATAAAAAATTAATGTATATTTTTATCCAAATCTTTTTCAGATTTTTTATATTATCCAAACCTATTAAAATGTTATTAATCAGCTAAATATTTCGTAATGCATCAAAATATTAGTCATTTTTACGTTATCGTTAATAATTTTGTAACTTTTTTCTCAGTTAAAATACTAAAATTTTGGAATGTTGACATTCATGTGTCTCTTCCAAATCATTATCATGTTGCCTAGTCAATATTACTAACAAAATTGCTAACTAAAAGTTAACATTTGACTAATTCTGACTTCTGAATACTTCGAAGGCTTGACTAATAAAAAAGAATTCGAAAAAGTTTGTCTAATAAATAGTCATTAAAGAATACTCTTTCATATATTTATTTATTTCTCGATGGAATACAAACAAAAATTCATCTTTTGGGGAAAATTTTGCGGATAGTCAGGACTAGGGCTGTTAATGAACCGAGTCGAGTCGAGTTTTGCCTTGTTCATTCAAGTTGAACATGAGCCAGCTCATTTATTAAATCTTGACACATCATTAAGATCGAAAGTTCGGCTCGAGCTCAACTCTAAGATAATTTATAATATAAACACTCTAATATTTATATGTCATATGTGATACAAGTGATTACCTAATGGTATGTTATATATGAGACGTATATGCTTACATATACTCAATGTATCAAACACCATATGAGGTGGTATATATTAGGGGTTGGCAACGGGACGGGAAGGGATACCCGTCCCGTTTTAAACGGGTACCCAGTCCCATTTGGAGATCAAAGTCCATCCCATATCCCAAACCCATATGGGAAACGGGTACCCATTACCCGTACGGGACGGATAACGGGTACCCATACTACCCATAAATACCCAAAGTTTAAATCACTAAAATTTTAACAAAAGTTTAAACTTAACTTGTATTTGCTTAACAATCACAAGACACAAAATACATCCCAATCACAAATACTTGATTTGCATATTACAACTTTATGAACAATCACAACACATAGAAATAAATCAATCAAAGCACCAAATTATCAAAAAAGAAGTTTCATTCAACACAACCAAATGGGAGGCATGCTGCTACTTTCTGCAAGCTGTTGCTGCTGCAGTTCTGCCTTCTCCAGGCGGCTTCTGCAGGCTGCTGCTGCCGTTCTCCCTTCTACAGCTGCAACTATCCTTCACTTGCTGCTGTCCTGCAAAGAAGAATAATTAGGAGCAATATTGAGATGATCCAAGTTCCTTAATTTAATTAAGTACACAATGATCCCATGCTGTAAATGGACACTCGTTGCCTCATTTCAAACACATCCAAACTCTCTACTAATTCACCAAACATGTCAGTGAAAGAGTGAAAGGGTGAGGGGCCCAAATGGAATTGAAATTGAAAGGGTAAGGGCCAAAATGGCCAATGGGTTTTGAATTGGGCTGGGCTGAATTAAATTTATGCATTTGTATTGAATGGATATAAAGGGTACCCATATTACCCAAACGGGTATTCGCGGATAACTCGCGGGTACCCATATTAGGAATGTACAATCCCAAGTCCCATCCGTTTATAATATTACGGGTAATATAGGTACTTGTAACCCTTAAAAAACGAGACGGGTACGGGTATACCCAAATACCCGTTTCCCGTTGCCCACCCCTAATATATACAATTTAATAATTATATGCATCATTAACAAACTAACTCATAAAATATAGATTGATTTTCTCATAACCTGTAGTCGAGTTGGCTCTATAGTCACAATGTTGGGACATCTCATAAGCTCAAAACGAGACAATTCATGAGTTGTATTAAACGAGCCACCTAATCAAGCTAGTTCACGAGCTTCATGAACCGAACAAGGTAGAGCTCAACCTCGACTCGTTTATTAACGAACCGACCTTTTTTTTTTAATTAAACGAGCTTTTATCGAGTTCGAGACCGAACCACTCACGAATAGCTCGGCTCATTAAACTAACTGAAAAAGGTGTGATAGCTTAAAATAGATCGCCGCCGGCCACGCGAGACAGGGCGTGCCTTCCCGGCCGGACAGAATAATCCCAAATGGTTTGGCGAAGCCCTAGTTGACGCCCGATTATTTCTTGATGGGATCGTAAAGAAGGCGGGCAAAAGAAAATCCCTTTCTCACTCGGGCTCAGTTATGGTGGCCGATCAAAAAGGAGTACTGGGAATTGCAGTTCCAGGAGTGGAGAAACACCAATATCAGGCATCGGCAAAACCAACCGGTCTTAATTATTATGGCCTCTGCACCTTCGCCGGAATATTCAGTGCCGGCACTACCCATCTAGCTATCACGCCTCTCGATGTCATCAAAGTCAACATGCAGGTCCTTTCCTCTCTTTCCGCCATCTCTTCCCCTTTTTCATTGGGGACTTTCCTCGAACACCTGGGATACATTTCTATTCTCCTCATTGCACCCTCAATTTTCGTTGATCCTTCGAACCCTTTTGCGGAAATGACGAAGCATCAATGTCATGCATGAAGATTTGACTGAAAAAAACCCTCATTTACAGCTGAATCCTATCAAATACCACACGATCTCCACTTGCTTCGCCACTCTACTGAAGGAGCAAGGGCCATCCACGTTTTGGCGAGGCTGGGCAAGCAAGTTCTTCGGCTACGGCCTCCAAGGTGGCTGCAGATTCGGGTTATACGAATACTTCAAAACCCTCTACTCAAATGTCATCCCTCCCGACTACCAGCGCAACCGTAGCGTCATATTCTTCACCAGCAGCGCCACGGCCGAAGTCTTCGCCAACCTCTGCCTCTGCCCTTTCGAAGCCATCAAGGTTAAAGTTCAAGCACAGCCACATTTCGCCAAGGGACTGCTCGACGGCTTCCCAAAGCTATATGCATCCGACGGCCTCCTTGGGTACACTACTACTCTCAAGTCACCATTCCTCTCCACAATCCGCACTCTTCCTTTTCTAACTTGTGCGTTTTCTTATTATTATGGTCACAGTTTCTACAGAGGTCTTGTCCCACTCATGGGTCGAAACATTCCATGTAATGTTGCACTCAACCTGAAATCTTTTACCTCCTTTTTTTCCAGCTGAATATCACTTTACAAATTCTCTTTACATTTGCAGTCTCGATGGTGATGTTCTCGACGTTTGAGCACACGGTGGATTTCCTATACCGCAAAGTGGTGAAAGCGAGGAAGGAGGAATGCACGAAATGGCGCCAGCTAGGGATCACATGTGTGGCTGGATATGCAGCTGGCTCTGTCGGCAGCGTAATAACTAACCCCGCCGACAACCTTGTTACTCATCTTTACAACAGGAAGGGGGATGGGCTTATCACGGTACGTGTATGGACGTAGTGTGATATGCTGGCTAAGTTTTGGTTATGGCGATGGGTAGGGGATCACGTAATTAAGGTGATGCTCCCAACGGTACAGGCATTGCCCATATGGTGGTGGTGGTTAGCTGTTTCCCCTTCCTTACTTTGCTGGTCTGTTTTGGATCGTTGTCCCTCTTTTTTTTGGGGTTCACATGGGTCTCGTTGTTTTTTTGCAGGCTGTGAAAAAGATTGGTTGTCTCAACTTGTTTACGAGGAGCCTTCCCATCAGGGTAATCCTCGTTGGACCTGCCGTGACCCTGCAGTGGCTGCTCTTTGACAGCGTTAAAGTTTTCAGTGGCTTGTAAGTTGCAGTGTTGCTTGCTTGACATTTAATCGTGCAGTCCGAGTTCTGAATTCGTTCGGGTGGGTAGGAACTTACGCTGTTTCGCGTGAATGATCGTCCAGGCCAAGCAGCGGAGAAGTCAGGACTGACGTTGGATAGCACGAGCAGGGTATCGGACAACGAATGCAGGATCGCAGGCCGAGGAATTACAGCTTAACAGCGCTCTGGTATCAGAGTTTCAAGCACAGGGTTACTGATTTTTGTTCCTTCTGTATACTGGGGAGAGGATCAAATCAATGCCGAGGCTTTAAAATAAAAGTTCACTGAGTGAACAAATTATTACATCTGGGAAACCATTTGTTAACTTCTCCATTTCAGTCTGTAATGACAAATATTATGAACAAGCAAATTAATGCAACTGTTCTAACTGTTAAAGTACACCACATCTTATTCCCAGTATGATGCAAGAATGAAGATAAACAAACAGGATAATACAATTACTGGAAGAAGGAATAAAAGACAAATGTATAGCAGCAACCAACAGAGGAGATGCTGATCAAATTCTACACTTCCGGAGGGGGTTCTGCAATTGCCATTGCTGTTGAGATTGAGATTTGCCCACCGACCTGCAGCTGCACCTTGCTCGACCAGCTCTCTCGTTCTTCTGTAGCGCAGCACGAGCTTTTACTAGCTCATTTGCAGCAGCCATCATCTCAGAACCTTTGCAGGCCAGAGACACTATGTCAGCTGTAACTCGCCTTTCGCGATCCAGTGCTGCTCTCTGCCTGTGAAATCTACAACTCCAGTCAAATCAGACTAGGCTTTTACATAGTCCATGCCGTCGCGCTTCCTTTTGTTAGACTCCGAGAAGCAGCACATCTGAGCCCAACTCTTCCTCTGTTTGACTGCAGGCTGTGCCTTGACGTCCCTTTTCTCTACCATTTCCGCCATGAACTGCACAACAGCCTAAACACAGAAGTTCACCCAACAGGTTTAGTTGCAGTTACTAGGATTCGATTCATTTACACGGATGAGTACAGTGAGAGAGAGTTGTGATAATTACCTGAGCACCTTTGTCTGCAACATGCCTAGGCGGCAACTCAAGGGGATTCTCTTCCACCCTCAGAACCCTCAACTTAGCAAGCAACCTAAACGAATCCGGAAGAAACCGTATCTGATTATTGCTTATATCCAACTCTTCCAGATTCGCAAGATTGCCAATTGACCTCGGCAGGTACTTGAGGTCAGCAAAATTGTTCCCCACATTCATCTTCACAAGCGACGTGGCGAAACACAAGCTCTCGGGCACTGCCTCGAGCTCGTTGAAGCTAACATCGAGCTCCTTCAAATTCTCCAGGGACGACATGGTCGTGGGGAGCTGCCTGACATTGTTGTATCTCACAGATAAAACCTCCAGCGTGCCTATCTTCCCCACAGCTTCAGGGAGTGCTTTCAGCCGGTTGTAGTCTGCGCGAAGCTCCTTGAGCGAAGTACAGTGGCCGATCGTGTGTGGGATTTCCTCGACCTCGTTCGTCTCGATGCTTAGTTTCTTGAGGCTAGCGAGTGATCCTATTGAGTCTGGAAGGGTGGAAATATAGTTGGAGGTAAGATCCAGCTCCTCGAGACGTACTAATCTTCCGATAGTGGAAGGAAGTGCGGATAATTGGTTAGCTCGGAGGTCCAGGAACACCAAACTCAGTAGATCTCCAATGGAGTCAGGTAGTTGAGCGATTCTATTGGAATGGAGATCCAACCTCGTCAAGGAAGAGAGACCGCCAATGGAAGGTGGCAGGGCGAGAATCCTGTTCTCTGACAAATCTAGGGTTACCAAACCCGATAACTTGCCAATTGAATCTGGCAGCCATTCAATTTGTTCCATCAGCCGGCTACGGAGATTGAGCTCCGTCGCGCCTCTCTTCGCCGAGACCTCGATTACGCTGGCGAGCTTAATCAGACTCAATTTGTCACCGCCATCTTGACCTACAAACAGTAAAACCGAATTTGCAGATTAAAATCCAAACCGCGCGAGTAATTGCTCAATTGAGAAACAAAGAAATTGGTGGTGTTTGCGAATTGAGATGCTCACCTGAAGCGGTAATTGTGGATCTCAGGGTAGGATCCAAAACGGTCGGTTCACGAACACCAATTCCGGCAGCGGCTGCAGGTCCTTCGGAGTAGAACATTGGCTTTGTCTTTCTCACGTAGCTGTCATCTCTGGTAACCAAATCCGCCGCAGATGCTGCTGCCGCCGTTGCCGGCCGTTTCTCCGAGAAGTACAAGGCGGACGTAGTTGTCCGGGCGGAGGAGGAAGAAGAAGAAGCGGAAGCAGGCTTCGACGAACTGCTTCCGTTAGCAACGGCGGCGGCGGACGAGGAGGCATTAGTGCGATATGGAGCGGAGGAAGAGGACGAAGAAGAAGAAGGGAGACACATGGAGGCTCTCTGGATCAAATCGTCGAACAGAGAGTGGAGGCCTTCGAGTTCCAACAACCTCAAGGCGTCACGCTTCTGGTCCTTGCTCCGGAAACCGACGGAGGTCTTCTGCATCTCGACGAGAATGGAGAAGAGCTCTTCAGGGACATCGGAGCTCTTCCCCTGCCTGGAGATTGCATCCAGCCTGGCCTGGTCTTCTTTGTCGACGTTCTGGATCAGGTCCTTGGCCGCCTCCACCTCGTCGATTGAAGGCCTCGGCGGCAAGGATCTGTGAATTCTCATTATCTCGGCCACCACTTCGTCCACGGACTGAACCTGCGGCGTGTCCATTTTGCAGCGGCAGCGGAGGGGAGATTTAACGGCTTTCCAATTCAATTACACCGGCGCCGGCGGAGGAAGGGGAGAAACTGCAATTGTTGGGAGCTATTTTGTTTCCCTCTATTTGGGGATGATATTGATGGCTACTGCAAGCAAAGCAGGCAACGGAAATAAATGAGAGAGGAGCGAGGTAAAGGAAGTGAGCAAAGCGTTTGGGTTTTGAAATGGGAGGAGAGGGGAGCTTCTTTGAGTTTCTAGAACTGGATATGGGCAGAAGTATTTTAAATAATTAAATAGAAAAAGGCCGTAATAATTCCTCAAAAATAATTGTTTTGAGTTTTGACAGTTTATTTATTTATTTGATTTTTTAAAAGGGGTACGTATTTATTCTGTCAACTGCTGTCGACCGGAGGGAAATATGGAAGCGACAGTTGTAAATGCAGCGGAAATTATGAATCATTTTTAAAATACAAAAAGAAAAACGAATCTATTTTCTGAAATTCGGAGTGGGAAGAAATTTTGTGCAAGAAAGAACAGAATTTCGTAGTTCGCGAGGGCGGGACTCGGGAGTACAGCGAAGCTAGGTAAAGCTGCGCCGGCATGACTGCATCAACAAAGATCGTCAGGCTGTCGTCCGACTGTTTTCTACTGTCATTTTTGTATGGATATGCACGAGGTTTAGAGATAGAAGATGCAGCCATATCCAATCCTCGATAGGAGGGAGGACAATCTCAGTTCATTTTGATTAGTATTAGTTGAATTTGATTAGGAAAAAAAAAATAGGAGGGAGAAAAAGAGAGTTATGAACTTACGATGACACATTGAAAATCGGAAACAAATTAAATCCAATCAAATCTAGGCGGTAATAACTAGTGAGTATGGTAATTAGTATTGAAATCTACCGACGCTAATTGGGAATGACAAAATTAGGAGTAACTTTTGGCACATCGCGGAGTAAAATTAGGGAAATTTATCATAACAGGCGGTAATAACTAACGAGTATGGCAATTAGTATCGAAATCTACCGGCGCGCTAATTGGGAATGGCAAAATAGGAGTAACTTTTGACACATCTAAGCAAAGTCATGCGAGTTATAGATACGCTGGTAAAAGTCGAAGACGTTGGGTTAGCTAGTGGTTTTGGTACCGCCCATAGAGAGCATATATGTAATCCACTGCTGCTGCTTGCTTCCTGCTAGCTTCTTCCTTGATGTACAAGATCGGTCTAAATAATTTAACATCAATTGGGGGATTCATTACACCTTTAATCCTTTATATCTATTTTTATATAATAAAATAGCTTTTTTTGCCACTCACACTCTCTTTTGGTACAAATTTGGGAAGAGAGTGAGATCGGAAAGATGATCGATTGATGATGATGATGGGGAAATTAATTAAAAGGGAGGGATGCGAGTGGGAACAAAAGGCGTGAAGTGGAAAGCGACGGATGATGAAGTAATGGACATGGAGATGGAGGTTGGTTATAATAAGCTTTTCATGGAGCCAAGGCGCGATTGCAACGGCCCTGCCTGATGGTGAAAATAGTTTACTGCTAACTTCTCCAATTGGGATTTGTTCTGATTGTTGCGTATTAACTATTAAGGTGAAAGGGAGGGAGAGGTGACGCTGCGACGGGCCCGGATATTATGGGCTTGCAGCCCAGATGATGGGCCAAGAGTGGTCATAACTGGCCTGCGTTGGCTCGAGACCATGCAGGGTAAGAAGCACTGACGTGGCTGTTGGGCTTATTTGGCTGGGTTTTCAGTTGGTTGTGTTCATTAGTGCAGCTGTTCTGCAGCTGAGTCGGCAACAGCATAGTGCTTGTTCATTAGTTGCTGAAATTAAGGGATATGGATAGAGTAGTGGTCGAGATTTATGCTTTCTAGTTGGCTAGAGTTGAGTATATATATATATATATATGTTAGGAGTGTTCAAATGGTTATCTTGGTAATAACCAAATCAATTAAGTCTAAATTTCATTAATCATGGAATCAATTGTCTTAACCAAACCGTCCAAATTAACATTAAACCAAATTAACCAAACCAAAGTTTAATTGGTTTAGTTAATCGGATTAACCAAACAACATAACATTACATGAAAACATTATCCTGTTAATGAAGAAAACATAACCATACGTTATTACTATCATAAACTATCATTATATATAAGCAATGATAATAACACTACAACAAATTCGGCCTATTGTGACGGTAGGTTTTTGTCATATTAGGACTATGTTTTGTCAGATTAAGTATGTTATGACAAATGTTGTTGTCACAACGTGTTGTCATTTAATCTCCGTCAAGATAGGTAAAATGTGACAAAATTTTAAAATATATTTGTCACATTTGCCTTATGATTTTGTGACATATTCCTGTGTCATATAAATGGTAAAAAAGTGACGAATAGTTTTGTCACCATAAGGGTGTGGTTTGTCACATTTGGAGTTTGGTTTGTCAGTTTAGCTTACGTTCTAGTTAATCTATTGTGACGAACGAAGATTTTATTTTATGATGAAATGTTTTGTCATTAATTTTTTCATAATTTTTCGATTTATTCAGAATTGTTATTCATGTTACAAGATTATATTTTGTTATAAATGCTATTATGATGATTTCAGATTGTCGGGGAAGTTGTTGTATGTGCCTCTTGTCAAGTAATGTACAATAATGTGACGTATTGACTTCGTCACCGGCGGAACCAGAGGCTACTGGCGACGACTCCCTTGCTTCCCTCCTCGTTTGAAACCAAAACAAAAACAACAAACTAAAGTCAAAACTCAAAATCATTCAAAGGAAAAAAAATCCAACAAGAAAAACCAGACCTACCGGGTTCCTCATGTTTCTCTGTCACCGGTGGCTCCCTTTTTCCTCCACTGCGCTCCCCTATGTTGGTGATCGATTCCAGAGCCGGTGACCTTTTCCTCCCTTTTCTCTGAGACCAAAAACCTCGCCATCAATCCAAAAAATAAGATTAAAAAAAATCAGAACCCTAAACTCAAAC